CTCTCTCTTCTCTCTCTCTCTCTCTCTCTCTCTCTCTCTCTCTAATTATTTTTATTTTCATGTGTGCATTATTTGATACCAATATCAAAATTATAAATTATTAGTTTTTTAATTTCTTTATTTAATTAATTTAATTTTAGAAAATATTTATAGCTAATTGGTAATTTGATCAACTAGAAAAAAATTAATTATAAATATTTTCTTTTATAAAATAAATTAAAAATGTTATTTTGTCTGTTTATACACAATGCGTAAATGTGACGATGTATTTAAATGTATTCATTAGTTATAAAATAATAAAATTTTCCCAAATTTTCAAAATTCTTTATCTTTCTCTTTCTATTTTCTATTCTTTATCTATCAATAGTTAATAATAAACTCAATAGACTTTCTCTGAAATCATTGCAAGAAAGAAGATCACGAAAATTTATTTAATCCGATCATTTTTAATAATATCTCGACATTTATCATATCATTTCGATTAAAAAAAATCAAGATACATTTTTATCAATTTTTCAGGATTTTAATTATTTCAGTCAAAATGACGCTTCGTTAAATTGAAGTCGATCACTAATAAAAAAAATTATACTACACTATTATAAGTATATAATAATATGTATAATAACATATATGTCAATTTTTAACTTGTATCTTTGTGATCGTTTTATGTGACATCAAAATAATATAAGAAATATTACAGATTTATAGATCGTATTGTTTTAAAAGTACTTCTTTGCCAGACATTAAAAAAAAAAACGCGGTATTGCAAAACGCGGAAACGAAATGCCCGGCGTGACGAAACAGCCGATCCGATATGATTGGACTGTGACGTTCCTTTCACTGCGATTGGCTCGTCTTACGTAAAGCACGAGTTATACGCTCGTCTGGTTAGGTGTTCACCTTATCGCGCGCATGAATACATATATACAGACGCACACCAACACGATCGTTGACAGTAATTCGCAGGGTCTCATGGTATCGTATTGTCGTCGACTTGTCAGTTCATTCAAAGTCATAGTGGTCTGAGTTTTGCGTCTTCTTTTTTTCTCTTTAATAGGTAATTACATTTCTTTAAATGACAAACGGTGAATGTGCCGTGAAGATGACAAGTCAGGGGTTTGTTTAGACATCAGCTTGTGTTTGTCTCGTCATGGAGAGGTCACTCGTGCTTCACGCGTGTTCGCGAAAACGCGCTGCATCTTGCGAGAGAAGGGCAACTTCATCGTGATTTTCCCTTCCCTTTTTTTTCGAATCTGGACCGCATTTTCGTTTTGAACGTTTCGATTACCTTTAGCTTATAGCTCAAAGATGCCGTTCTCTGAAAGAGAAACAATATGTTGACACTTAGCCGAAGTTATACAATCTGACCGATAAATGCGTTATGCCGTGACCTGTGTAGCACTCGTGTATCTGTTTATATGTATTTTTTCATGTTTTTGAGACAGGTAGTAGATCATTTTTTCTCCTATACGCGCTTGACTTTTCATTATAACTGCTGAGAAAAATGTAAAATTGATATAGCATGATTAGCGCGATCGCGTTGCGCTAAATGAAACAATAAGTTGAGTCATGCAAGTTTGACCGATGAAATCTTTGTCATTTACAGGCCAGATGTCTGTTATCTCCGTGTGAGTGTTATCTCTGTGTTATTGCAGATTCTGAGGATGAACGTCTGAGTATCAGATTTCACCTGAAGAGGCGAGCAAAATTCCAAGTGTCACAATTATGTATGAGCAAATACTAACGATCTGGAAGAACAATGTAGAAGAAGAATTGAATATTGAATTAAATACTGGAAGATGTCTGTAATGAGTGCTTGTATATAGAAGGGATAAATAGTTGGATAAATTATTATAAAAGATAATAGAAAGGACTGTTAAATTTAAAAAGTGTACATTGCTAGATATTATGTCGGGCACTGGGACTATCATATCACAGACTGTCGCTCATCTGCCAGAGAAAGAGCATGGACCTATGCCAACTATAGATTACTCTAGTATCAGAGGAAAGGTATATTGAAATGCTTATCATTGAATCACTTTTAATGAATTATTTTACATATTTTATAAAAATGTGGATTACGGCGAATTTTAGAATGTCTTAGTCAGTCCATCCGAGGATCAGTACGAACTGTTACTAAGAAGGCTGAAAGAAAGGATTCAGGATGGAGGTAGTGAAACGATTTTCGACATTGGTATTGCTGAAGGTGACATCAAAGAAATTTAAAAAAAAAAAGAAATGCATTGTTATGTACAAAAATCATTGAACTAAATTTTTTTGTCATGATGTTCTTAGATGGATCCGAGGATGGATTGAAGGAAGACGAGTATGAAGCATCGGTTGCCACTTTACAGTCTCTTGCTGCAACATTAGAAGCAGACTGTGTGCTTCTACGTCAGAGTAAAGCAGATCATGGTTTAACAGGGCAATATTTAGTAAGGAGACGCCTAGATCGACAAGATTTCTTAGAGATCAGGTTTTTATTTAATAATATGCTCTTTAGATTAATTTAAAATCAATAATTTATAAGACAAGACATATTCTATAGATAACAATTTATAGAGTTGCCGTAGTGGGTAATGTGGATGCTGGTAAATCGACTTTATTAGGAGTCTTGACACATGGCGAACTTGACAATGGACGAGGATTGGCACGTCAGAAATTATTCCGCCACAAACATGAGGCTGAAACGGGACGAACTAGCTCTGTAGGAAACGACATACTTGGATTCGACAGCGTCGGTGAGTCTCGACTCTTCGTCGCGTCTTTTTTGATTGATCATATTTTATTAATGTCATTATACATTCATAGGTAATGTAGTTAATAAGCCTGAACATGGTTCGTTGGACTGGGTGAAGATATGTGAAAAATCCTCTAAAGTAATTACATTCATTGATCTCGCTGGTCATGAGAGATATTTGAAGACAACTGTTTTTGGAATGACGGGACATGCTCCAGATTTTGGTAAGAATATTATTATTGCAAAATCGCAAAAGTAAATCGGAATAACGAAAGTGCTTCCTCTATCTGCAATATCAGCAATGCAATTGAACAATATAAAAGGTTAAAGTGTAAAAGTATAATAATCGATGTAAATGTTTTAGGTATGCTAATGATCGGAGCGAACGCCGGCATTGTAGGAATGACTAAGGAACATTTGGGACTTGCTTTAGCATTGTCCGTACCGGTATTCGTTGTCGTGACAAAGATCGATATGTGTCCACCAAATGTTTTACAGGAAAATTTAAAGCTATTGATAAGGATCCTGAAATCCCCTGGTTGCAGAAAAGTCCCAGTTACAGTGAAAACTTCCGACGACGTGGTAGTTAGCGCTACTAATTTTGTTTCAGAACGGTTAGTTCAATAGAGCATTAAAACTCTAGAAAGCTCATCAAAAGAAGAATAAATCACGTATAAAATATCCATAACATCATAATGCTCGTTTATGCACAGATTGTGTCCAATATTTCAAGTATCCAACGTGTCTGGTGAAAATCTAAATCTTCTTAAAATGTTTCTCAACCTATTGACTGCGAGAATTACTAGTCATGATGATGAACCTGCTGAATTTCAAATTGATGATACATATTCTGTGCCGGTACATGCAATATATAAATTTTATATAAATTTTTATTTTTATCGTACACAAATCTTTCTAGTATGCAACAAGAATATTACAAATTAAAAATTTTAGGGAGTTGGTACAGTAGTATCCGGTACAACTTTGAAAGGAATCATAAAGTTAAATGATACCTTATTGTTAGGACCTGATCCATTAGGTCGTTTTACTCCTATAACCGTCAAGAGTATTCATCGAAAGAGAATGCCTGTTCGTGAAGTGAGAGGAGGACAGACTGCTAGTTTTGCCTTGAAAAAGATAAAACGATCGCACATTCGCAAGGGTATGGTAATGGTCGCGCCTGCACTAAACCCACAGGCCTGTTGGGAATTTGAAGGTGAAATTTTAGTGCTACATCATCCTACAACAATCAGTTCCCGTTATCAAGCGATGGGTAATTATCTTTCTAAATGATTATTATTATACCCTTATCATATCAATTAATTGTTATAAAAATTTTAGTACATTGTGGAAGTATAAGACAAACTGCTTCCATATTGTCAATGTCTCAGGATTGTTTGAGAACGGGCGATAAGGCCTTAGTACATTTTAGATTTATCAAACATCCCGAGTATATAAAACCTGGACAGAGAATGGTATTTAGAGAGGGTCGTACTAAAGCGGTAGGAAATGTAGTGAAACTTATACCGCATTCGAATAGTATAACTACACAAACATCCAGAATTAATAAACCGAATAAAACATCGCAAAATCGTCAAAATGCAAATGTACAGGTATTTATATTTAATATAATACAATTGAAATAAGTTTATTAGTTTCAACAATTTATTTATCGTCAATGGATAATTAAATAAGAATCAAAAAATATGTACGATTTACATTAGGCAGTGGAAATAACCGAAGCTGATTCAATGATTGAAACACAAACAGCTAAGCAGGAAAATGTACCGCAAAAATCTGGATCGAATCAGAATAAGAAAGGCAGAGGTCGAAGAGGAGGACGATCTCATAATGCTATTAATAATATTCAACCTTTAACAGAGCAAAATCCTCCTGCAAAAGTGTAAGAGCCGTCATCAATGTACAAAAAAAATATAATATATTAATGTTCTAATTTTCTGTTATAAATATGAGTTTCTCAAAAGGTGGTCTACAACACCACTTCTATTATATTCTTCAACACTTTTTTCTGAAAAAAATTAGATTATGTATAAATAAGGATAATTCAAAATAATCCATTTGTCTTTCAAGGGACATATTCCTAATCATATTCCGAGATGATTTTTCCTTTGGCAAAAGTTTGTCCAGAGCCTAGTTTTTAGTTATAAAGTTATAAAGTTTATAAAGAAAAATAGCGTATTACAGATCGAATACATGCTTATACATATTTATGTATGTATGTATTTTTTCTATTCTGTGTTAGCTGATCGCGACGCCTCACGCAACATCCTCGATGCAACGATGAGTCGTGTCGCTCTTGCTTACCTCCTGTATCCGACCTATAATACGCTAATTATCTTTATAACTTAAAAATTAAGCTCCGAACAAACTTTTGCTTCAAAAGGAAAAGTTATCTTAGAATACGATTGATATGTCTTTTGAAGGACATATGGATTATTTTGAATCACCCTATACTCTATACTCTACTCTATAGATTTATCAGACCATATACCATAAATTTATTAAAGTACAATTTTTCGCATCTCAACTATCTCAATCATATTAGAAGCATATTCTTTTAACAATATGACAAGATAAGTCGGTATTTATAAATCGTATTATTTTTGTAAAAGATATAGATGTATCTTGAGTCAATATTATATGTACAGGTAAAAATCAATCGCAATATCAAGAAATACATACACATATGTATCTCCATTTCTACACATATACTTATATACAACATATGTATATGAATATGTATACATTTGTACAATGTGCAAACTTCTATAAACGCTTTTAGAATTTAACGATAAAATATGATCTACGCCATATATATCACATTAATTCACCTCGTATGATAATTCTATAAAAAATTCAAATTTGTCTTTGCAGTATATTGCAATGGTGAATTTTAAGCAGAGATATTAATTTCAAATATGAAAAGAAAATTTTCCATTATATCTATTCTTTAATGAATCATTTACATGTTGCAGACTGTACAGAGAAGATACATTTCTTCCACAAAAATTTAAATATCGTTTTTTAAATAATAATTGAGCACCTATTTATTATCGACTATACATATTGCTAAAATAATGCTAAAACGTTGTGAAAATGTGCTAAATAAACAAGAATTTTGTTTTATTACATAGAGAATTTTATATGTTTTACTATCTTTAATAACAAAAAATTATTTAAAAATTTTCATCATAATCTAAATATAAGAACTATACATGTACAGATTTGACAGATTAATTATGTATTCTATAGACTATTTAGGTGGGTGTTTTTTAAATTCATCTTTTTCCTCCTTCAATCGTTTCTTTAATTGCTCTGCAATATCTTGCAATTGTTTAACAAAGTCTCGCGGACTAGAAATAGAGCGGCGTGTTCCATTAATCATACCTGCTCTACTCAATAAATATACTACAAATTGCGCACTTTGTCTAATTGGTTTGGATTCTGCTAATTTATTGATCAACTGTTCATTATTTAATAGATACCGGAAAAGGGCTCTTAGAGGCATCCTCGAAACAAAATCACTTTTTTAAATCTTCATGCAACGGTATGTATGCATTTATGCTTTCGGTATTTCAAATGTACAGGTATTGCGATACTTCAATAAAAGTTCACGCTTTAATCTCAGTTGCTTGCGTAAAGTCTCTAGCTTCTGCAATTGTTCTTCTTTACTATATTCTATCCCTGGTAATCTCTTGATCTGAAAGGCGCAATAGAATATCATGCATGATTTTGATAACACAAGAATATTTTCAAATATATCATATAGAGGTATAATTGTGACTTACCTGAGATCTTGCAGAATCCAATTTCTTTTGTAATTCTAGAATTTTGTGGCTAGTATCCTGTGACTCTTTTGCTTTTTGCGTAGTATCATGTGGATCTTTCTCGATACTAAAAATTACAACGGATATTACATTAGCACATTAAAAAAAATATTTATGTATCCACATTTACTTGATATATGCTCTTCATAATATAATAATAAATATAAATATAATTTTGGAACATAGCTATAGTGTTGCACAATGTTTCTCGAATACTTGAACAAATTTTACAGAATTTTTTCAAAGATAAATTTCTAAAAGTCCATTTTTGTATTTGAAATGACAATAATCACTGAGTAAAAAAGCAAATGTTTTACATGGTATTTTCTTAATTATTAAAATATGTTGATAAAATTTGACAAAATATTGACATTTCAGAAATAAGCCTATGTTGAACGATTTTGAATCATTTTCACGAATTTTTATAATCATTTTCTATTTCTGAACATACATGGCCGAACACCTCTACATATGATACTTCTAAGTGCAGATAATAATAAAGTGCAAAATATAAACTGTATCATCGAGATAACATATAAGTATATTCGTCCCTTTTTTTCTCAAAGCCATGTGCCGATTATAGCGCTTGCGCAGCCGCCATAATATATTTTACGTTTACTTTTTAACACAATTATTTACGCGTTACAGCAAATAATCCGTTTGAATTTTCCAACATTGGTGTACAAATCGAGAAAAAAAAGTAACAGAAACTCATTGAAAAATGCCGACATTTCAGCTAAATAATTTTAAAAAATAAAATTGATTTTCAAGTTTTTATAGAAAGTATTGAGGGAATATTTTAATCCCAGTCAGTTTTAGGTTCTGTAATGATTTCAGTTACCGACGACTTGCACAATCGCGCGAAACCAAAAAATCAAGGAAAAACTACCTGCGAATAATCTCATAAATCAGCGGCAATATTTCTATGTCCAAATCGTCAACGGTGAATTGTGTTCTCAGAGAAGCATCCTCCGTCAGTTCCACCGACTCCATCATGTCAAGAGCATAACATAAATATGATCAATATAGACTGCGCACTCTATTCAATAATGCTCAATATCTTATGTTAAAGCCAACGGCACACAATGCTTTTTTTCCTGCTGATTTGCTAGTTGGATTTGTGTGACTTGCTGACTTCTTATCTTTGATTGGTATATTCTTTTAGATCTAAAAGAATATACCAATCGAAGACAAAAGCTTAGCTCATACAAATCCAGCTAGCAAATCAGCAAGAAAAAGGCATCATGTGCCGCTGGGTTTACTGGATATGCTTTCTGACTAAAATTAAGATTTGAGTTAATAAAATAAAAGAGCAATATCTTATGTCCTTTTTCTTTTTAGTCTTTATGTTCATTTTCTTTCGAGAAATGAAGGATAGAAGATACGACACATTTGCTATCTCTTTCTATGTAAAGAAAAAGGCGTATCCAGTAATATAAGATCAATAGGCTCACTCTTTTTAGCTACCTCGTTTTAGCTAACCTCGTTTATCTTATCTTTTTTTTCTCGCGTTGAAGAGAGAAAATGCATCCAGTTTATTGTGAATTTTATTTCAATAAAATTTTCACAGACTTCTAAAACTAAGTAATTAAGACTTCTAAAACTAAGTACTATTTTTCTTTTTTTTTTGAACCAAACAAATTTTGTTTTAAACATTTTTAAAAGAAATGCTGCATTTCTAAAATATTTTATTCCATTATTGAAA